TTACGATAATTTACTTGTCAATTATAAATAAAAAGATAATTATGCCAAAAATAATAGCAACGAATTCGAATGTAAAAGCCTTTTTGAGGGCAAAACTTCATTTTGATGAAATTATGCCAAATGCCACAATGGAAGAAAAAGTACATCGCCTTATGGACATTTTTGGAGTAAAAAAGTAACGAATTTGGTTTTATTAATATTACATCACACATTATTTTCATATTATTCACCATTGGACAACATTTACGTTCACAAAATTTTTTTATTTCTTTTATATAAATTCTTTTCAAAGCGAAGATTATTATCCGCTAGGAATACTTTCTCTTCAAGGCCGTAAAGCAACCTATATTTAACTACTTTTTTATATGATTTTACTCATCCAAGCACCATCAAAGCCAAATTAATTGCATTTTTAACTACGAATTTCGACAACTCAACTTGACAACTGCACAATGTAACCTACAATAATTTATACATAACCACAATTAGATTTATAACTAGATTAGTTTGTTTTAATCAATGCGACCAACTTGACAACTGTATTTACCAACCAAAACCCTAAATTTGCAACGTTGCCGCAGTCCAGATAAAAAAAAAATGAACTTGTGTTGTATGTGTTTTGCATAACTTACTTTAATAATGTATTTTAGTTAAAAAGTTAATAAAATTGATTAAATAAGTGTGCCACCACTGATCCGACGCATCCAAAATAAACAACGGAGAGAGAAAAGTTTTGGCTATGGTCCGGTCTATTGTTCGTGTGAGGCTCGCAGAAAACTGTGATATAACATTGCCATCTATTTACGTGTTACATTTGTGCTAGCACACACGTTTTGTGCGACACAAATAACTTTTTTAGCGGGGACGCTCTCAATTGCCAATCGCAATTGCAATTAATTAATCAATCAATTAGGATCGTAGGTAAATGACGGAAATATGTTTTTCTATCCTATTACGGAAAATGACCGTTCTAATATCACTTTTTATTGTGGAATGACATATATTCCTTAAAGTATTACAGAATGAATTATTCTATCATCGGATGACGGAATAAACACTGGTGGCGACATCTCTGTGTTTAAATCTAACAAATATTAGACCGATCCAACCTCACTTTCTTCCAATTAAGTTATTTTTTAAAAACGTAAAAAATGTATAGTTTGAAACAAGTTCGGAATTGAATATTCCAAATTGTTACAGAATATACTATTCTTTATCTATTCCATAGTCCAGGGGGGTTGTTTTACTTTTCCTGCCCTATTTGCTTCGTCACTGGATATTTTTTTTTTAGAATTTCCTGATTAATTTTGTTTACGAGGTAATTAGGTTTTAGGTAATTATGTTTAAGAAAAAATCGGACCTTGCGAGGCCAAAAATTGGATTGTTCAGTTTATAAAACAGGGCTGGTTCATAGAAAAAAGTCGATATTCATTGTTTTATTTTCTTAAGAAGGTTCGGGCACGACATCCCAAGTAGCACAACTGCACTGTTCAAAATTTCATGACCATTTTAACACCAAATTAACACAATGCATGGTCTATATCGATACAAACCAAAATGGTGTTAAATATGGTTCGTTGGTCCAGTGTAAATACTAAAATAATATAAATTTAACTTTCACACAGTATTAAAATAAATTTTACCTGGTGTAAATTTAACTCCTTTTCATTGTTAAATATTATGTGTTTTTGGTCAAATTAAATCATACTACACAAAAAAAGGAAACAGGAAGTTCCTTGACGCATTACTAGTATAATACCAGTGGTATTCCAGAAAATTGAACCTTCAACTCGCTAGAAATAAAGTTTTTAGTGCGTTCCACCAACTTAAAAGTATTGACAGCTGTTTCCACCTATTTAAGGTCTCTTTAGTATCGAACAACTTGTAGTGTCACACCAAAGCAAAGGACTACCTGAGCTTATATACTCTTCATGTAAGTCAACAGAGGCGAGATTTAAGAACATCACGTGATCCACACCGCCTTTGCCGCGATCGGTACACACTATGCAACCAGGAATGCACGGCAAATTGTTTTAATCGTTTGAACAGAGTGCTTTATAAACCTATAGGTTGAAGTAACTCTTATTTTACAAACAATTGGTTGGTTGGTTTCACTAAAGTTTTCTGTGTTAATTTAACAAATTTAAAAAAAAAAACAAAATAACTATCTGGTTTAGTACCGTCAAACTAATCTTTGTTTATATTAACCTTCCCACACTTGATTAAAATAAATATTTATGGGTCAACTAAATTAATATAGTTAAATGAACTATTCCTTTTTTCTGTGTAGGTGCACTTCTAGTATATTTTTTGGTGTTTGCTGTATATAACATTTTCAACCATAATACATGGTGTTTATATTAACACCACTTGGTGTTGGATTTTTACACCATTTTAAGATTACTCTTTACACCACAGATATTTTATACAGTGTAAACAGGTAAATTCAAAGGTTATTTTTTAGTATAATTTCACTAATAAAAGAAACCTATTGGTAATATTACTAACAAGTTAAAGATTTGGTTTATTTGTAGTCATTTTAAACTCTTTAAATAACCTAAATTTATCTAACGGTAAATTGACTATAAATAAACCAAATATTTAATTAGTTAGTAATTTTACTTATAAGTTAAAAAGTGGGTTATTTTAGAAGTTACATAACGTTATATTAACTTTAAAAGTGGTTAAGACTATTTATTTTTTTTTTAGACATATTTTGGTTTAGTTTAACTTTTGATATAACTTTTTGGTAAATTAACCACAGATTTGGTTAATTTGGTAATATTTAACCAACAAGTTATATTTTACCAAATATATTTTAACTTGCTGGTAAATTAACGTTAATTAATAAACTGTTTAAAAAAGTGATAGTTTTGCAGTTTTCATTGTTACCTGGAAGGAAAAATTAGTCTCAATACAGCTTTATATAGAAACCTCTAGATTGCGAGTTTTAAGAGAAATTTTTTTAAAAAATATCGACCTTCTTTAACTTACGATAGAAGAGTTTACGAAGTTGTTAATAATTATTTATCTACAAATCTTCCCTTCACATTTAATTAATTTGGTAAGCATCTATAGGTTTTATCACAGAAAATAACCAAATGGCTTAAATAAACTTGCAGGTTAATTTATATTGGTTATATAACCAATAGGTAAAAGCATATCGCCATATTGTTTGCTGTCCATAACAAAAGGAAATGCCATTAATTTTAATAATTTGTTTTATTTCAAAAATTAGGTACATTAAACAAACCAACAATAAAACATAATATTATTTAATATTTAAAAGTAGGTATTTTAAATCAATTTCAAACAAAATAAAGAAAATATAGGAAACAAATATTTTTTTAACTTTTTAATTTCTTTCTTAATTTTTTAAAAGCTCATTTACTTCATCAGAAGAAGAAAAATGTCCCATTTTTTTCCCTTGAAACTATCTAAACTATCTATTTAAGATATCAATGGATACATAACAGAGGTAACATTTTATTTTAAGGATCTGTAAGTCATAACTACAGATATACATAACCATATTTGGTAAATTAAAATTAGGTACATAGAGTTAAAATAAACTTAAACCGGTTATTTATGGTTTAAATTGACTTAAGAGTTAAGTAGGGTGGGCTAAACCAAATGTTAACTTCTTTTTAGCCAAAATGTACATTAACCAAGAAGTTAAACTTAACTAACAACGTTAATTTTACCATAATTAAATTCCCCACTTACGAGTATTACAAAATATCGTTAATTTAACCAGTAGGGCTACTACTAACATTTATGTAAATTTTTACCGATAGTGTTGACTGTGTCAAACCAAAATTATCAATCTGTCATTTTCGTCTAGAATATTTGGCAACACACAACTTACTAATACTTGATTATCTAGGGATATTATTTGTTTTCTGCTCTTCTCTTTTTTTTTGTTTTCTTTCCATACCTTTTTTTAAATAATTTTTCTGTAGCGTTACTATATAAACCAACTCTAAACAACTCGCAATCGGCCATTTCAAGCGCGCGAAACGCACGAATTACAAAACTGTTTTTATAAAAAAAATTGTAGATTATTTATTATTTAATATTTTGGCATCAAAATATTCTTCTTTTATTAGGTTATACATTAAATTAAAAAAAACGCAAGACATATTTTATGAAAGTAGATATAATTTTAATAATTGAAAGGTGTGGACAGGACAAAAAAAAGAATTATCTTGTCTCGTCCACCCCTGTCAATTATTGAAATTATCTCTATTTTTATAAAATATTTCTTGCGATTTTTTTTATTTAATGTATAGCCTAATAATAGAAGAATATATTTGACAATTTTGATGCAAAAATAATATATAATAAATTACCTACAATTTTTTATATGAAAACAGTTTTGTGATTTGTCCCGTCCATCCGCTTGAAATGGCCGTTTAGCCAAAATGTACATTAAGCAAGAAGGTAAACTTAACTAACAACGTTCATTGTACCATAATTAAATTCCCCACTTATTACAAAATATCGTTTTACTAACATTTTTGTTCATTTTCACCGTTAAAAAACGTGTCAAACCAAAATAATCAATCTGTCATTCTCGTCTAGAATATTTGGCAACACGCAACTTACTAATACTTGATTATCTAGGGATATTTTTGTTTTCTGTTGCTTTATCTTTTGTTCCCATACATTTTTTTTAAATAATTATTTCACTGTAGTGTTACTATAGAAACCAACTCTAAACAACTCACAACGTTTATATACTATCTTTGTTACATAGTGCCTTTTGTATTAAAATAAAAAATAATCATAAATTCAGTAAGAAAATAGGCTTTTAACTCAAATGTTATGAAATGACACTGGCCGAACCCAAATATAAAAAAATATTTTTTTATTTTTAGGTACTGATTCACACTGTATTTACAATTAAAAATCAATAAGATAATAGCACTTATCTTATCAACAATACAGTAAACTTGGGGTATCCCCCAGAAATTTTAGTTGTACATATTAATACAAATGCCGGGATCAATTTGCTTATTAACTTATTACTTACTAGTGCAGTTTGGTTTATATAAAAATTCTATCAAGATGATCGACATTCTACTATCAATTATAATAGTTATTATAGCTGCTATAATTTACTATTTTAATATACCTGGGGATCAACCTGCCAAACTTACAGGAGGTGGTCCAGTCTTCCCGACTTACAGGAGTGATCCAAAATATCAGTCGAATACATGTAATGTAAGACCTATTTTACAAGGTTTAAAAAAAAGTGGTGCTCCTAGATTTGATCTCAGGAATTGCGTCCAGGAATGTGGAATTCAAAAGAGATACGTAAATCCTGATTATATTGTAAAGCCCAATTCACTTATAACCGAACTATTTTCCAAGACGACAGAACGTCCAGTTTGGAGCCAGGAAGAGAACCTATTCACCAATAGACACGTTCACGAATTCACCGATTTGGAAGAATCTTCAAAAGAGTTTGAAAGAATCGAAGAGTTACTCAACAAAAGCAACAGAAATTGTTTTGAAGTCACCAGAATTCGCCGTGTGCTCAACAAATATTTGCTGCTCCAGTACGAGTTAAAAAAACGATCACTAACCAATCCAATGGAAAAACTTCTCTTTCACGGCACAAAACAGGAAAACATCGATGTTATTTGCGCAAACAATTTCAATTGGCGACTGTGTGGGACATCCAGAGGGCACATTTTTGGACAGGGTGTTTCTTTCGCTAAGCACTGCACCTATGCGAGCCATTATTCAGACAAAACCTATTCCAAAGTCGTCATATTATCCAAAGTGTTGGTATCCAAATCTTGTGTAGGAGAAAAAAACACGGTGGTTCCCAAAGAACCGTGTGATACTACGACCAAAAGTAATGGAGATGTTTTCGTTAAATATGACGATTTCACTTTTTATCCAAAGTATGTTGTTTATTATGAAGGGGAGGTTGAAAGAAATTATACCAAACCTTCTATTTATTAAATATATGTATTCTTTTACGCAGCTTGTTTTATTCCACTTTGATATCCAGTAAACTATACACGGTGTGCCTGAACGAAGTTTAAGGCCAAAAACTGATTTCAGTTTCTTGTTCGGGACCCTTTCGTGACTTAAAAATGATATTTAACAAAATTCTAGCTGCTCCTCTTTTCGAAATTTTTTAAAAAGTTACCTTTGACAGATTACACATTTATACACCGATTTTTAGAATATTGCAGTATATTGTTAATGAGATTTGGCATAACACGCAAAAAAGATATATACCCAGTGGGTATTACCCACCCATGTTTTTTTAGAAAATTTTATGTTTATCAGGCTACAAAATGGGATTCTTATTAAGACTTTATAAGAAAAATTGATTTTAAATAAAATTAAATAAAATAACATTTTTTGGAGATAAATCTTTTTTGTGCATTATGCTTTTTACTATGTAAAAAAGTGATTTTTGGCTAACCCTGTATAAATCTAATGATGTGCTCAGTATGAAAACAGTATTCTCCAAGTCTCGTTAATAATATACTCCAATATTATAAAAATCGGTGTACAAATGTGTACTCTGTCAAAGGTAGACTTTGAAATAAACAAAAATTTCAAAAAAAATCATAAATTTTCAAAAAATTCGAAAAGAGGAGCAGCTAGGATTTTGGTAAATATCATTTTTAAGTCACCAAAGGGTCCCGAACAAAAAACTTCAGTTTTTGGCGGCATTTTTATGTGACATAAACTTCGTTCAGGCACACCGTGTATAGCATAATTAACCAGTGCTATACTCCTAATTATATTTTTCGAAAAAAAGATAACATAGATGGTGCCACCAATACATAAGATAAAATAGATTTCAGTTGTACTAAAAACATTAGTAATTTACTCTAATATAGATGGAGCTGTCTATATCACGGCGCATTCGCCATTTTTGCAATTCAAAAACATGTTAACAGGTATTCAATAATTTTTTAGACGTTCTGTTATTTTGTATTATAATACAATATAACACTATAGTGCGTCAGCCTGTTTTGCAGCATAAAATGTACAATATTTTATGTTCAGTATGTATATAATTTTAAATAGACAATAAAATAGGTAAATGTTAACTTTTCCAAAATAAAAACTTTTTTTCAGTTTAAAGTGTTAAATTTATTAATATAATAATAAGTGAATTTCATCACTATTAGTGTTTATAGAACTTTTTTAGTTTAGACATTTTTTAAAATAGCTACAATATTGAAATTCGTCTAAAATCGAGTATATTTGATTTAAAATATCTCCAAAATGTTTAGAAAACCATATTTTATTGTATTGTAATAAGTTGTTAAAAAGTATACCGGGCGCCTTGAAAAGACTTTTTTTCGATATTTTTAAAAATGACTACCTAAAAAACTAATAAAGTCTCTCTCTTTTTATCTACTTACTACAACACAGGAAAGTAGTACACTGTAAAGACTTTATCCAGAAAAAAATATTTAAGGTGGATCTTTAAAATTTTGAATAATTAACAATTACTGTAAAATTTACATTTACCTTTTTTTTTGTTTATTTGCAGTTAAATAGAACTTTAAATTCTGGACAAAAATATTGTGTATTTTATTTATTTATTTATTTATTTATTTAATTAATATTCTACATTGTAGAATCTACAGGCGTAGGCCCATTTACAGAATATATTTAGTAAATATATTTAATAAATATTATTTAGAAATACATTTAAAACAAGATTATGCATAATAAAGCAAAAAGAAAAAAGGATAAAACAATAAATTAAAATAGGTAGGTTGAGAAAAAACGCTTTACAGAATAAGCATTAGGTAAATGAAAATAAATCTCTAATATAACGTTGTCTGCCTATAAAACTCTAGGGTTCATAACACGAAATTCTAAAGACTTTTCATATCCTTCCACTTATACTAAAGTCACACCAAGATCTGTAAAGTTGTCAATCTTTTGCAATATGTTAACTCCCAGCTAATATTTAAAATTAATTTTATTTAATTTACGTGTATATGACATAGTGTTGCATTCGCTTACGTTTAAATTTAATTTAATTTTGTAAGCTCCTAGCTAATATTTAAAATTAATTTTATTTAATTTACGTGTATATGACATAGTGTTGCATTTGCTTACGTTTAAATTTAATTTAATTTTGTAAGCACCAGTTGCTTAAATATTCAAGATTGGTTTGTAGAATCTTACAATCTTCAAGAGATTAAATGGGTTATAATAACATTAAATCATCAGCATATAATAAAAAAGTGTTACTGTTAACTTATTACCAATATTATTAATGAAAATAGCAAATAACATGGGTCCCCTTATAGAGCCCTGAGGGACACCAGAAAGTTGTTCCGACAATGCCGACTTATGACCACGTATTTCTACATACTGTTGACGATTTAGAAGGTATGATGTAAACAACAACAACAAGGTTATAATTATATGTGTTTTTTTTTAATTCTCCATCTTGGACCCAGATAGCACAAGAGGTACCCAGGACGTCCATTTCGGGTCCCACATAGGTCCGAACGTCCTAGACCTATATCGGAAGTTTTGAGTACGCCCAGTCTCTTACTTATTTGGGAAAATTATAGCGGAGATACTGGGTACGTCCCAAGGACGTAATTTTTGTTTTTTTTTAGTATTTGACGCATTGTATTTCCAAAGGGTCTAAGTGCCAAGTTGGTTAAATAATATATTATTATATAAAAATAGTTTGTGTCATGCAGAATGACTTAAAAGTATATTCTGTAACAAGTTTGGAATAAAATAATAAATAATAAATCTTTATTAAATAGGAAATCCTAATATACAATCAATAAAAACAATTATAAAAACATTTATAAAAACATTAATATTTCTTTAAATAAATTACACTGTATTTTAACACCCAATCTAATCTAACAATAATTACTTACAAAAAAAAAAATAAACATAATACAATTTTTAATTTAACAAAAATGCACATAAAGCTCTCTTAAAGGTTGCTAAAGTCTCACAATTTTTTATTTCTTGTGGTAACAAGTTGTATTCATTTAGCCCTTTAAAAAATAATGAATTCATTGCGGAATAAGTATTTGTAGTATTAATATAAAAGTTATTGGTTCCTCTTGTGTTATATGCATGAAAGTTGTTTAATACTAAATTTTCATGTAAATAGGGGGCAGCAATATTATTTTTTATTTTATATATAAAAGTAATACAGCTTATCCGTTTGTCACACGAGCCAAAGGCGAGTTTGACGGTTTCAGGAGAGCGGAATATGCAATTTCAAACGTGTTTCAGACATTTCAACGTTTACATGTGCAAAATATTTGTTTTTCATTGATAACTCAATTTTATTTTTGTAACTTAGACCCTTTGGAAATACCACTCTTCAATTCTGTAAAGCTTGTCCAATAGTCCCCAATAAAGCATTTCAGGATGGCCAGAGGATGTCTTACTTAGGACGTTCTGGGGACCGACGATTTGGTAACATCGGATGTCCCTGGAACGTCCTGGGGAAGGTTCAGGACCTGATTCGGACGTACTCGGAACTAAAGTCTGATACAAGATATACTCAGGACGTTTTTAGTACTTCTTTGTGCTATCTGGGGAACACAATTCTCTAAATTCTCTAAATAAAACGAAATGATTTAAAACAATCTAACTTTATTTAGGATTATAATATACATATATACATAAGGTGTAAGCAGATTAAATAGAAATGCGACACATTAGCGAGTACGAAAAAGTAAACGATAAAACTTGCAAAAACCCTCTCGACTTAACTAAAAAAAACACTTACAAAAATCGATTAAAACCTAACAGACTTTCTTTCCTTGCGCGCGCTCACGCTGACCGACGACTCGACAACGTCGGACGAGTCTTCCGACTCGTTCTCCGCCACCAGCGCCTTAAGTCTGGCAACCCTGCGCTCCCTGGCGGCCTGCTTCTCGGCCATGGCGGCCATCTCGTCCTCCAGGCCGCTGAGCCGCTCCCTGGACGCCTTGACGCGCAGCGCCGCGGCGCTGTGCACCTCCTCGGCCACCGGCGCCATCGAAGTCCATTTTTCTAGACTTCCGGCCTCCTCGCTCGCGGCAGAGTTGGCCGCGGCGCGGCGCTTGATGATTATGTCCTCGTCGAGGGTTCTTCGCGAGTTCTCGTTGATGCCCACAGAGTTGAGCATCTTCTCCGAGCGGTCCAGCATGCGGAAGGTCTTGATATTGTTGCTGGTGCTTTCCAGGTCGACGTCGTCGATGATGGATACTTTTTTGTTGGCGCGGATCCTGCGCAACGCGGCGGAAGTCTAGAAGGTGAAAGAAAGTCTTAAAATGTTGATTTAGTGTTGGTAGATGAAGTGGTTGTATTGGTGTTGTTTTGACTGTCTTCATCTTGATTGATAAATTTATCACCTGAAGGCGATTGGAGATCACCAGTCGAAACGTAGTGAAATCAACAAAAAATCAAGATGACGACAGTCCAAAACAACACCAAAGTCTTAAAAGTTTTAACATTTCCACTAGGGTGGAGTAAAATACATGATGGTAACCGTTTAATATGCCTATATTGAATTAAACTGTCTTGGACTATCTTCATCTTTGATTCTTTTATAACACAACGTTTCAATCAACTATCTGTGATCGTTGAAGTGTAGAATGATCAAATTTCAAAATGTAAAAACTATATATATATACATGAAATTTGATCATTCTACACTTGAAAACGATCACAGATAGTTGATTGAAACGTTGTGTTATAAAAGAATCAAAGATGAAGATAGTCCAAGACAGTTTAATTCAAAATCATACTTTATCTACCAACCTCAAATCTAAAATGCCTATATTGGCTGAGCAAAACACTTGATGGTAAACATTTAATATGCCTGTATTGGAAAAAGTGGTGTCCTATTGCCTTAACTTACCAAAAAAAATTATATTGATCAGGTAATGTTTGGAGGTTCCGCCAGCTTTTTATTTTTCAGAAGATAAAATCTGCACTTTAGGTGGCGGACCCTCCAAACATTGTCCGATCAAAATCTTTTTTTTTTGTTAATTGTGATAATAGTTCACCACTTAATACAACAATTAAATTTGCACTGTTAACCAGTGTTATCGACAAAATATAGTATAACAAAGAAAAATCTTGTCTGTACTTGCGAGAGTTTAAAACAGTATGATTATGGAATAAACTACTCTATGTGAAAATTGTACTTGCTTTTTGAGTGTGTTTTTTGTTTAACCATTTGTATTCATTCAATTTTTTATTTTATATAGTGGAAAAATTGAAACTTCATACAAGAGGATGAGGTGGCTTCTCATAATCCACACTATAACGCCTCTCAAGGCGATTAAAACGTTCAAATCGAACTCTTTTTTTGCTTAAAGCAGGCACAGATCGGTTTAGGTTCGGTCCACCGATGTTTATCTGTAAAAATTAGGCTTTATGGATGTCAATTTTTTTTGGGCGACTTTAAAGTAAAATACTAAAGGTTTTTAGTCATTATTGCATTTTTTTATTGTCAAGAAGCACCGTTTTTCGGAAATAATAATAACTTTATTATTATCATTATTAAACAAATATTAGAAATATTTCCCAATACCATAGATGCCAAGTTTAAGAAAAGGTGGAAACTCACCATAAGAAATTAATTAAGTTAGGAATTTCAAGCATCAAGAGGTTTTGTCAGAGAGGCGTGTAGGCTAAAGATTTAACAAAACCAAAGAAGTCACATTTCAATCCCTCCCTTTAGCAGTCGTCAAGAGTATGAAATCGAAATACTGCTTCTTTGTAAAGGCAGATAAAGGTAACAAAGTCGTTGTGTTTGACAAATACAATTATATTGAAAGGGTGGATCACTTGATTAGTAATGGACATTATTTAAAATTATCGAAGAACCCTTTGCCAAGTATGATATCGTATTTGTCAAAATTTTTTAAACTTGTTACTTCCGCTTTGAAGCGCAGGTTACATGTTTCTGGACCAATTGTGCCTATTCTATTGTTTATCCAAGATTCATAAGCCTGGAAAGTCTACGAGGCCAATAGTTTTGGCCATTGGTTCACCAACTTATGAATTAGCTAAATGGTTAACAAATAAATTTAATATCATCGCTGTTAAGCAACCTAGTTTTTCAGTTAAAATCTCAATGGAGTTTTTCAAAAAAGTCAAAAGTATTACACTGCAAGACAGTGAGTTATTAGTTTCATTTGATGTTAGTTCTCTTTTTCCAAGTGTCCTAGTAACACTTACATTGACTTATCTAGAGGATCTACTCAAAGAAAGGATCTATTCAATGCTTAGAACAAAAAACAACAGGAAGGAGTCTTGTCATTCTTTAGCCGTACTAAAATTACGACGGAAGTCGGCCATTTGCAAGCTCCAAATTATGACACATTTGTGATCATAGATAACAAAGCCTTTATATTTGTCAAAATTGAATGTTTTATGTGTTTGTCGGTGTTTTATGTTGTTTTTCTGGTTAAATTAACTTTAAATAAGCTTTTCATTGTTTCTAGACAATATTATATTTGATATATTCTCGTTTAAGTGTAAATATTTAAAGTTTAAGATATAAATATTAGTGTTTAAGGTGTAAAAACAAATTATGGTTAGTTGTGCAGCTTGTGGTTGCTCCTTGAGCACAAAAATTAAAAATATTCATTTACATTTTATAGGTGAGTATTTTGGTTAACGTTTAATTTATTTACTTATTGTATATTTTAAAATAATTAGTTGTAAATATTAAACATAAATCAATGTCAAATAACGTAACCTTAGAACATAACCATAACCTAAGAACGTCACCATCATAGAAAAAACCATAGGCGTATCATATTTTCTGATACTAACCTAATTATTATAAAAATTAAACTTCAATTGTATTTACTACGCCACTGTCAAACGGAAACAACTATCCGCCATATTGAAGCTCCACTTTGGACCCAAGGTCATTTATTAAATGCTCCTTCCTGTTGTTTTTTGTTCTAAGATTCAATGAGAATGTTGCTGTTGTTAGCATCAGCCTGCATGCGGCAAAGTTTCCAGGTCAACGGTTGCTTCTATAAACATCATGAAGGGACTGCTATGGGGAACTCCTTGTCCCCCTTTTTGGCCGATCTTTTCATGAGCCGCTTTGAGAAAGAATTATTTTCGATCAAAACGCTTGCAGCTAAGATGAGTTTGTTTCCAAATGAATAATGGTATTCTCTCTATTAAATTTAACTTTGAATTGGAAAAAGATGGCCAGTTACCATTTTTATATACCCTAGTGATTAGATCTAACAATACTCTAGAGTTTGATATCTACAGAAAACCTACAAGCACTGCACGTTATACCACTGCACACAACATAAGCAGGCTAGTTTTAACTTTCTTGTTCGTAGGTTGATAAACTTTCCACTTAGTAACAGTAGATACAAGAAAGAGCTCAGTTTTATAAAAGACGTTGCTAAAGACAATGGATTTGAACCCACCCTAAAAGATAAGTTGGTAAATAAAATTAAATTTTAGTCTCGACTTTTCAAACAGAGCTAACAGAGCCCATAAAAGTCAAGTTTATGACTATTCCTTCAAACCTCGGTACACCCGAGGTCTGGAAGGGATTTTTCGAAAACTGGACTTCAAAATTGCTTTTAGTTCAAGCAGTAGCAGACCCTTATGGGTAACCCCAAAGATAAGATGCCTAAAGTCGGAGATCTATAAAATTAACTGATAAAAAATATGTTGGAAAACTAAACGATCCATCCAAGTAAGGTTCAAAGAGCACTTAGTCCATGCTAGATTTAGTAGGACAGAGAAATCGAGTGTTGCCAAAACATAATATGTTGATGATGGTCATAGAATAGGATTTGACAATCTTAAAGTTAGGAAACCAAGTCTGCTAGATTGTTACGAAAGTTTATGCATCCATAAAAATATATAATGGTAGATTTAATTTAGCAGTTAGATTTGGTTACACTTCGCTTCTGAAGATGCCAACATCGTTGGCGAAAAGTACTTTAAACACTTTGTGTTTTGTTTTGGTGAATATTTCTAATATTTGTTTAACATATCACCTCTTCAAATAAAAAAAGATACCCATACATAGAAGGATACACAATTGTGCCTCCTATTCTACTATAAGATCTGTTTCTGAGTCAGGAATCATAAGAAAAAAATGCTTTTTTACTGAACTCGCACATCACTTCCGAGTTGACCAATAAAGACCGCGCTGTCCACCTGCTAATATAGGTTTACCTACTTCTATTTCTACTACTACACCGAAAAAAATAATGTAATTGAGTTAACGTTTGCCTAAATGTAATTTTTGAAAATGTTGTTTCATCAAAAAACCTATTGTGTCAAAGCAATAGTCAGAGTTTGTCAAAGTTTATTTGTTCATTTCACAGTTAAAATACTGATTTAACATAAACTAATTTTTTGAATTAAAATGTTTATCCTATTTTGATTTAATAGCTGGAATTGGTTGAATCAAATACTGAAATTTTTAGGATTACCTAAAAAACTATTAAATTAAATTTGTTCATTTAACAAATTGTAAATGTTACTAAAATTTGTTAATTTTGCATTCATAAAATTGCCGTGAAGGGCGCTTCGAACACCCACGCCACGTCATTAGACGGTGTTGGTCACGTGATGTTCTTACATCTCGCCTCAGTTGGCTTACGATAGGAGTATATAAGCTCAGGTAGCCGTTTATTTTAGGTGTGTTCCACAGTGGAACTTCCACTACACCAAATTGCCCGACACTGATAAGACCCCAATATAGGTCGAATCAACTGTCTGTCGGTAGATATTTGAAGTAGGTGGAACACACTCAAAACAAAAACTCTGGCTAGGGAAGGTTCAATTCTTTCCCTTTATATTAATTCCATAATTTTGTTTTGAATACCAAAATTTAAAGAATGTAACCCATTTTATTGGTGTTAAGTGAATATGCTAATAAGGCTGGACATTTCAAGAATGTTTAATTAACCAGATTAGCAGATTAGAACAAATATTCTTATTTTGTTCATTTGACTAATATTTATTGTTCAATTAAACAATACAATTTGACATTTTTAGATGGTTAAGTAAACGTGCAAAAACCATTGCTTGTATTTAAAGTGCATAAAGAGTTTCAACAGCTTATTTTTTTCAGTGTACCTACTCCACTACGTCTGGTAACACAAAAAATCTGTGTGGTGTGTATTCCTCTTACATTTCTTACCTCGTTGTCGACATCGTCGTCGTAGGTGCGACGTCCGATGCGTCCGCCGCGCGAGTCGAACACGTGATCTTCGTTTATGAGCTTCCCGGCGCGCCTCCTAGATGTGCTGAGGTCCTCGTCGGCGAACGCAGCCGCGTGGCGTTCCGCAATGTCGGCGGCCATCGGGGATTCCTTGGCCGGGCTGAGCGGCCTGCCGGAGTACTTCCGGTCCAGACGGTCGATGGCGGACTTGTAGTAGCTCTCGCCGATGTTGTAGTTGGCGTCGTAGACGCGTGTGCGCGGTCTACTCAAAAGGGTTCTGCCTGACATCCTGGAAAGTCTGTACACAAAGATAAAATAAACACCCGGTATATTTAAATTTATTTACATTTAAATTTAAAATTTTACATTCTTCGAAAGACAATTTAATTTAGAACAAAAAATTATTATTGCATTTATGACTACCGAGTAATTCCACGACAAACGATACTAAGGGTGAAAAAATAAATTTATTTATTATGTTATACACACTGTTCAAAATTTTAGCTAATTTTTACCTAAAATATTAGACTATATAGGACCATTGATTTTTTAAGGCAAACTGCTTAAAATGAATTCAGAGGAATATTCCCCTTTTAAATTAGTGAACTCTTTAACTGATATTTTTAAAGAAAATGATACAATTAATTAAGCAAAATTACTTAGGTTTCAAAGATGATGCACCTTAGATCGTAAGGTATATTGCCTGAGAATAAAAGAATAAATTTCCTGTTTCTAAGGCAATTTGCTTAAATTTTTCAGGCAAATTATATATATTTTTAGTGAAAATCCTCTTATTTTTAACGGTAAATTTATCTAATTTTTTAGTGAAATTCTACTAACTTTCTAGTAAAATTCTATTAATTTTCTAGTGAAATTTAAGGGGAACAATAATTGGCGGTGGGGGCATTTAGAAGAGAAGATATTTATAATGTCATTTTTATTCTCACGCATTGCTTTGGTAAAATACTATTTTGGAAATATACTATTGTAAATGTTATATTTTATTGTAAAAAGTTACCGATAACCTAGTAGTGTTTATCCCTATATCGAGCAATGTAAATGAGAAAAGAATGACATTATAAATCACCCTTTTAAGTGTTGATGGGTTAAATAAAAAATACATTTATTTTAGTTAAATTGAAAATGTATATTAATAAATATGTATAAATTAAAAAAAATAAAAGTAACAAAAACGAATTAGGTTAATTTAATAATACCTACCTAATTTTTTATTTTAATAATACTTAGGTATAGGCATACCTACTTTATAAGTTTAATAATGTTTCTTTTTGGCATAGGAATTTTCTTCCAAGTTAGGACTCCTTTATCTTTAGGTCCTAGGCGAATTAACAACGGCGGTTCCGGTACTACAGAGTTGGGGTTATTTAAAAATAAATTGGGGTCAATGGGAAATTCCATTTAGTTTGGATTACTTAGCACTACAAAATGTTCACTTATAGCACAATAATTGTTAACTACGTAATTATATTAATAGCACATAACGCGGTCTTTACGTTTTCGTTGATTTTGGCATTATGGTGGATATTTATCGTAAAACGTCGGTATTAGCGATCGTAGCCGATTGCAAGTAAGTCACTAATATTTAAAGGAATTTACCTAAATTAGTTCAATAATTTGCCTTAATAATTTAGAAGAATTACCTAAATTAAAAACAAAATTGTCGTACCTAAAAGTAATTGAGATTTTGACTAAATATTTTGGTAATCTGCCTATCTTTTTAAATTTGACAAGTTTATTAAGTAAAGTATGAATATTTATCTACAAGTTAGTCAATACACCATAGAACAAAGGCATTAGTTTCTGCCTAATAAAGGAGAAGGTAAATTGCTTTACTCGTTTAAGCATATTACCTTATTTTTCCTTAACTAATTCTGATTAGGTATTTCAAAAGGCTTGATTTTGAACAGTGCACTCACAGGAAAAATAATCGATCCACACAAATTTTCGATGAATTTTAATTGCAAATAACTTTTTTATTAGATGTCGGATTTAAACGAATAATAAAGAATATTATAGATAAATTAATGGACAATCGGTCACATTTTAAAAAATTACTAAAAAATAGACGTACGTTTATAATATACCTACAGGTTTAAACAAAAATATGTTTTTTACCTTAAGTTTAAGACACTCTGTAGAGTGGTAAAACCGTATATTGTTCTAAATTAAGTTTTATTTATCAAGTCACATCTATTCTTAACAGTTTTGTTTTTCGTTCACCTCGATATATTTATTTTTGTGGAAAATATGGATTTTTTTTAAAAATATTAACACATTAATTTACAAAAAAAAATTTGATAGCTTTTGAAAGCTGTATCACATGTCCAAGTATGGGATGATTTAACAAAACTGTCACTGTCATCCTCCGTAAGCTATGGATGGACCATAGCAACCTTAGTTCTTCATACAGGAAAAATATTGGAAATTGCAATATTTTTAAAAAAAATCCATATTTTCCACAAAAATAAATATATCAAGGTGAGCTAAAAACTAAACTGTTAAAAATAGATGTGACTTGATAATTAAAACTTAATTTAGAACAATATACGGTTTAGCCACTCTACAGAGTGTCTTAAACTTATGGTAAAAAACATCTTTTTGTTTAAACCTGTATATTATAAACGTACGTGTGTTTTTTAGTAATTTTTAAAATGTAGCGATTTTCCATTAATGTATCTACAATATTCTTTAATATTTGTTTAAATCCGAAATTAAATAAAAAAGTTATTTGCGATTGAAATTCATCGAAAATTTGTGTGGATCGATTATTTTGCCTGTGAGTGTATATTATATTTATATGTTCTTTTCGCATTAAATCTGATGAATTTTAAAAGAAAACATTCGAAATTATGTGCGACAAAAAAATTAGAAGAAACACGTAATTTTTAAGTTAATTAGACTTAAAAATCTGTGAACTGGCTGAATAAAAAAAAAGGCTTTGTTATCTATGGGCTGAATGACCATTGTGCCTCTAACTATTGGAAATACGAAAAAAAAACTGTCAAACTGTCTAACGTTTTGCCACGTTGTGAACCCAAAAAAAAACGGAAAAATTGGGAAATTTTCAGAAAAATTGACTTTTGCATTTTTCATTTTATTCAAAGGCCTTTGAATAAAATGAAAAATGCAAAAGTCTATTTTTCTGAAAATTTACCAATTTTTCCGTTTTTTTTTACCCGTGTAATTCGAAAAAATGCAAAAGTCAATTTTTAGGAAAATTTATAAATTTTTACGAATAATATCCGTACACTGATATCGAGAAAAAATGTCCTATGCTGAATCTTAATATTATAATATAATATATAGTATAGTATATAATATAATAATTATTCCTTTGATTATTAATTTTGTAACTTAACTTGATAAATCAGTTATTATTTTGTAATTCAATATTTTCAATGGACTCCTTTTTGTAAAAATTACCCAACCGAGAGTATATTTAACGTTTACCTACGTTTATTTTCTTACATTAATTTAATGTTTAGTTTTATTTTTATTTTCTATAAGGATATTTTTTTAATAATTAAAATAAAGTTAAGTTGTTAAATGCTATTTGTTTAAATGTGAATTTCTATAAAAAAAATTCAATTTATCCCAAAAAAGCCAATTTTTACCAAACCTTAGTTGTGATTAAAGGTTATTTATAGTAGTACTGGTGGATTGCGTCGAAGCCCCGAAAAAATTGATAATTATCACGTTTTAAGTGTGTTTCTTGTTACTTTGACACTGTAACACCCGAAACGAAAAATCAGGTAATTGTTTTATAATTATACCTTGCAGATTGATTAGTGTAATAATATTTAGTAAAAGTAAGGTTATGGTGGTAATGATTTAACAACCGAAACGTTTCTGGTGTAACAACTTTTTTCATATGTCGATATATGTGCGTGTATTGCTTGAAGAATTATTTTTAAGGCTCTTTCGACGGCCCACTAGCGCGGCCATCGGAAAAGCAAATGCAAATGGCAACGGACCTAGCAAAATACCAAATATTACGATTTTCGTCAATAATTATGTTTCTACCGATTTTTGGCAATAATATCGATTTTACTCGTTTTGCCGATTTATCAATCGTACCCGAAGCTGCTTAAGTTATGTTAAAGAAGAATTCATTAAATTTATGTTTATTTGTTACCTACTCATTTTGTACTACTTAGAGACTAATAAAACACCGATTTTGTCCATATAAAGTGTTTAATTTTTGTACTTGTAACACCCGAAACAGAATCCTGGTAACACCCGAAAAAAATTAAATTTTATAAAAAAAAATAGTAAAACGTTATTTGTGACAGTGATTATGTGGTAGATGGTTAGTAAATATTATACTTTTGGAGTTAACCCGTTACCCTATATGCTAAACTGTACTAATTTTACAATTTAAATACTTTGTTGAACAAATGTAACACCCGAAACGATGGATTGACCATAACCTAAACTTAAAAATAAACAATTAATAAGCACTTAAACTTTCTGATTGAAGTTGATAGTATATTTCTATGACAAATACAAATGCATCCCTTGAAAATGAACTAACAGCAGTTTTTCACAGTGAAAGTAAAAAAATGTTTTATGGGCTTTTCTAGTTTACTGCCGGCGAAAGTAAAAGGTCAGTACAATGTTCATATAAACTTTTGTAATTTTGTATTGAGGTAATAAAATAATTTTCACATTTAAACTAAATTAAAATTAACTTCATCCCGTGATGTATTTAAAATGTTTCGAATACTTGTCTTTTTTCATTTATCCTATAATATATGTATACATATATATATATAAAAAATATGTAAGAATAAGAAATTGGTTTATATTTATGACACGGTAATTTTTTAAAAAATTTTATTAAATTTACTGTTTAATTTATCGCTTTTATTAAAAATGGCGAATGCTCCGGTGTTAAAAATATTTTTTATGAGAATTTGGTGTAACGAAAAGTGTTAGTTAAATTATAGACATAGACTAGGTTTAACCATTGGACAAAATATTTACCAAAATTATCTAATTCTTATTTTTGACACAACGCATGCACTCTCTTCAAAATCTTACCCAAACTGAGTAGAAATGAGGTTTACATGCATATTTATCTGGTTGTATTGCATTTCTTTTTAAAAATAAAAGTGAATAATAGCATTTATATTGCCACCTATTTATAACCGAGTGAAAATAAAATGATTTCATTAACAGATATGAACGAATTTCAGCCAAATATAACATTATTTGTCACCTATGTTTACAACGTAAATTAAGAAATCATTCTGTTTGTGCCGTTATTGTTTTTTT